GTGTTTTTTCACACCCCTGAGCGCAGCGAGTGCAGCGCTGTGAATTGCCCGTGTAGCCAAGGCCTGAGTGAGTGAGGGTGGGGAGAACAAGCGACAGAGGGAGGGGGCATTGAGTGAGTGGGGAGGGGGCCTTGGAGAAGGGGTGGGGCAGGGGGCGGGGCAAGGGTGTTCCATTATCTGCAATGAGAAAGTTGGCAACCCTAGATCTTACCCCCACCCCCTCGTGGTATCCCCATCTGCCCCCCCATTTGGCCCTCCCTCTGACCCCCCCCCTTTCTCTCCTGGGCAGGGGGGGACTCTGGCTCCCCCGGGCTGAACTTGCTGATCCTCAGAGACGGACGAATCATCAACCTGGGGGGCAAGACGTCAGTGCGAGTGCTCCCCGGGGTAAGAGTCCAGCACCCCCTGGCTGGGGGAGGGGGGCGGCTGGTTGACACGGCTCTCCCGGTGGGGGGAGGCGGCTGGTTGACACGGCTGTCCCAGTGGGGGAGGGGCTGGCACGGCTGTCCTGGGGGAGGGGGCGGCTGGTTGACACGGCTCTCCCGGTGGGGGTGGGGCTGGCACGGCTGTCCTGGCGGGGAGGGGGAGGCTGGTTGACACGGCTCTCCCGGTGGGGGGTGGGGCTGGCACAGCTGTGCTGCGGTCCGGCTGTACCAGCCACACCTTTCCTTGGGTTGACCTGGTCTGATTCCCCTCTCTGGCGGCTCCTGTCTGGGCAGGGTCCGGGGACAGCCCCCTTCTCCTCTCACCATCTCCCCTCCTTCCCCTCTCCACAGGACGTCTTCCGCTTGCAGACCCCTGGCGGGGGTGGCTTTGGGTCAGCTGCTGACACCGGGGACTCCATGGAGCGGCACCAGCCGTCTGACGCCAGGAGCTTCCCGGAGCGTGGCAGCCTGTACGACTATCGCCTGGCGCAGGAGATGGCGTGAGGGCCCGGGCCGGGGTGTGGGATGAGCCGCCCAACGGCTCTGCCCCGGTGCAGTGCGGGCTCTGGCCCCCTCCCCTATCCTGTCCTCCTAATGCGGGAGCATGCTCTAATGGGCCAGGACTCCTAGGTTCCAGTCAGCTGGGCCCTGCCTCGCTGTATGACCTTCCCTGAGTCCCTGCCCCTCTCTGCCCCACTTGCAGGGGTCATTCCTGGGCATTTGCAGAGGGTTTGGGACTCATGGGGCTGGAGGTGCAGTTAGGGGCCCGAGCCAGGGCCTGTGGTGGCTGGGGCCATGGGAACTCCCCTCCACGTGTACTGGAGCTGAATCTCCCTGCTCTGTCAGCCCCACGGGGCCCCTGCTGCTCTCGGGGCGCATCCCCGCCCCGCCATGGAGGAGGGGCGTTAAGGGAGCTGCCTGGGGGGAGCGAGAGCAGCATTTGCCCTCCGCCTCCAGCAGCGAGGCGCCGATGCAGCAGTTCGGGTTCTCTCCAGGGAAGGGCGGCATTTGCCCCATCACAGGGTGTGGTAAGATGAGGCCATGAAACATAAACCCTCGGTATCAGAGGCCCGGTATGAGGCCTGAGCTAAAGTAATGGTCAAGACTTTGCTAACACAAAGCAAAGTGAAGCTGTGAGCCAGAGGCAGGCCCTGCTCACAGAAGCTGGCAAGAAGGCTGCTAATTGGACGTATACACATAGCTAAAGGGTATCAAGCACTAATAGGATAAACATGGACCAGGATGGCACCAGAACAGTCCGGTACAAACACATTCCACAGAGATAATGAGGAACAGGCTGAACCATCCTAAAAGACAGGGTCAAAAGGATAATCTGATGGACAGACTTGTTCTAACCCACATGTACCAGGGGAGAGGCAGCACCCCAACACGCAGAGGGGTTGCACCTCGATACGTCAGGAGTGATGTGTAATTTGTACCTGTGAATAAGAATTTACCTGAGGAGTTGTCTTTGTCTGGCCTGGGGGGCAGTGGAGAGTCCCGCCACTGACTGAGCCGGTCCATTGTCGGGGGGCCACATATTCGTAGTACGTCCTGTAGAGTCTGCGGAAAACTATTCCCGTGCTTCGTTTGACAATAAACCTGGCCGGGTGCCTTCGTACCTTATCGGAGTCTATGGGGGTTCTGTCAGGTCTGCTGTGCCAGTGATCTGCAGAGCCGGGGCAGCCACAGGGAGAACACACACGCACGGAGCCGACTGTTACAACATTGGAGAGAGCAGAGCACCACACCGGTGACGGTGCTGGAGTCTGCTGCCCGGATGATGGAGCGAGAGGCACCGGCACTGCTGTGGGGCGCGCTGCCACAGGCCAGCCCGGTCGTAGCCTCTCTGTGGCCCCAGAGCTGGAGACCCCTGGGCTTCTGCTCAGCCTGTCTCTGTGCTTGGCTCGGGAGCGATAGGCCTGGCAGGGGGCAGTTCCACCTGCACGGGCTCTGGCTCTTTCCGGCGCGGAGGAGTTGAGCCAGGCCTGAGCCTCAGGCAGGCACGTTCCCCGCTGGGCTGGGCTGCAGTAAGTCCAGCACTGAGGCTTTGGTGGGATCGGCCTCACTTGCGGGTGCTGGCTGAGCCCGGACTGGACTCCTGCCAGGTCGAGTGGGTCTCCCTCTGCTGGCATGAGGGCGGCCCAGAGAGCAGGAGCGGCCCTGGCCTCTAGCTGCAGCCTAAACCCTGGAGTCTTTGCTGCCTGCCCCAGCAGGTTCCCAGGCCTGGCACCATGTCTGGGCCTCGCTTCTCTCCTGCTCCCCAGGAGCAGCTCCCATTGCACCCACTGGACTCAGCACTGCAAGGGTTAACCCCTCCAGTGCCGTGGGCAGGGCAGGGCAGCGGGCGTGATGGTTTTCGGTGAGGATATTACAGCTGACCTGGCAGGGGTGTGATCCCCGCCCGGCATGGGTGTGTTAGGCCACCTGTGCACCAAGATCGATGAGCGCCACATGGAACGCTGCCAAGAAACAGAACGGTTCTTGCAGCTCCCACCAGCCCTGCTGGCTCTGCCCCCATGACAAGGCCCTTCTCCATCGCCGAACCCAGGCAAGGGGAGCCGCTCCGGCCCGGCCTCTCAGACGTGGAGAAGAATTGACACTGAGCATGGGACCTATGCCCAAACCGTGGGGAACCAGGATGCTTTGCGTCAAGCTGCCCTGCCAAGGTGTGATCTGCACCTGGGTCAGAGAAAGCGAAGCCCTAGACCTGTTGGGGGGTGCAGGCTGGGCTGGCACCCTCCCCTTTTCTCCAGCAGCCCGCACCAGTACGCTAGCAATGGCCAATCAGAGTCTAGCACCTCTCCAAGCCCCAGTTTATGTCAATAACGTCACAACTTCATTGTAGAACTGCCGCGCTCCCAGGGACACTTGGCAATCCTGCTCGCCATTGAGCACCTAGCAATGATGGTGCACTTCATCCCATGCTATATTGTTCCCATTTTGTATGTGAAATTACCCTGTATGCACCTGCTCCGCGGGGCAGGAAGCGACCTGCCAGCCGGGTCTGCGGCGAGCCAGAGGAGCTGTGGGTTGTATGTCAGGGCAGGCAGGGCCGTGCCCTGTGCCGGGCTGCGCCTCAGGAACAAATTTTGGCAATTAACATGAGCTTTCCGGTTTGTGGTTTGCCTGGGTAAGCCGCACAGCCCTGTACAAACCTGGGCATGTCCTCGGGCTAATTAACACTATGAGGGCTGGAGGAGCTGGGCAGGGCTGGCTGGGCAGGAGGCCAGTGGCACATTCAGTGGGTGATTTTCCCTCAGTTAGCAGCTGCTGTGATCAAGCCCCGCTGGCCTGCTCACAGTGTCTGCCGAACGGAGAGACGGCACAGAAAGGGTTATAAAATATTCCAGTGCTGGGAAAAGGTGCTCCAGGGAGACAGATGGAGAGCCTAGGCTAGTCCAGACAATGTCCCTGCTCCAGAAGAGCCCCACATCTGCTAACCGAGAGAAGTGGGACCAGAAATCAATGGGCTAAAATGAGGCCTAATTGGTGAGCACACTGTCACGGCGTGTGGGGGGGACCCAAGGCCCTGCACCCCCGGCTTCCTGCGATTCACCACGTGTGACGTTATTGATATAATCTGGGACCATATAGATCATTGTTGCAACCCAAGGTCCTGTAGTGGCACCCAGATCTTGTATAAAGGGGGTCAAATGGGGTGTCTAACACAAGGTTATGGTTTACTGGTTATGATTATGCTGTCTATATGTGTGTGTCAATTTTGTAGTTGAAGTTATGAATATTGGCTCTATACTGTCTGTATTTCAAACTTATGCTATGCTGCTGGGTGACATCCCAGACAAGCTGAGATTAGCTCTGCCTAGCCTGTTTGATGGCCCATTAAGGACCATCAGCTATACAATGGACCCATTGAGAGAAGGCAAATATGCCTTGAGACTCAGCAAAGTATGCAGGAACTTGCCCATGTGACTCCAGACTCCATTTGGCTGTAATTTTCCTCAGTAAGGACGAAGAGATGTTCTTACACCTGGAAAAGACTATATAAGGCTGATGCCTCATCTCCATCTTGTCTTCAATCCTGCTTCATACCTCTGGAGGAACTTTGCTACAAACTGAAGCTTTGAACAAAGGACTGAGGACCCATCCCAGCGGGGGATGTATTCCAGAGACTTGATTTGAACCTGCAGTTTATTCCATCGCTGCTGCAAGCCTGAACCAAGAACTTTGCCATTACTGTATGTAATTGATTCCATTTAACCAATTCTAGCTCTCATCTCTATCTTTTTCCTTTTATGAATAAACCTTTAGATTTTAGATTCTAAAGGATTGGGAACAGCGTGATTTGTGGGTAAGATCTGATTTGTATATTGACCTGGGTCTGGGGCTTGGTCCTTTGGGATCAGGAGAACCTTTTTCTTTTACTGGGGTATTGGTTTTCATAACCATTTGTCCCCATAACGAGTGGCACTGGTGGTGATACTGGGAAACTGGAGTGTCTAAGGAAATTGCTTGTGAGACTTGTGGTTAGCCAGTGGGGTGAGACCAAAGTCCTCTTAGTCTGGCTGGTTTGGTTTGCCTTAGAGGTGGAAAAACCCCAACCTTGGGCTGTAACTGCCCTGTTTTTAGCAATTTGTCCTGAATTGGCACTCTCAGTTGGGTCCCGCCAGAACCGCATCGTCACACCCGCCCACCCCCGTCAGGTAGGTGTTGGGCACCACCCGATCTGGGGCCACCACCTCGGGCCGGGCCAGCGTCACCTCTGCGCTCGTATCCCAGTATCCATTGACCTTCCTCCCATCCACCTCCAGGGGAACAAGGCACTCGCTCTGCAGGGACAGCCCCGCGCCCACCGTATAAACCAAAAACCCTGAGTCTGGAGCATCCAGCCCCTCAGAGGAGCTGGCCTGGAGCTCTTTTCCCTCCTTAGCAGGTGGTATCCTGCCAGCCCCCCTTTCCTAGGAACGCTGCCTCTCGCCCGGCTGGGTCTCTACCCAGTCAACCCTCTGTGGGTTCGGTCTGCTCAGTCTGTCCCTGAGCCTGGGGCACTGGGCCCTTATGTGGCCTCTCTGGCCACAGTGATAGCAGCCCATGTCCCGTAGGTCCCCTCGAGTGGGTCGGATGGACCTGACGCTGGATGTTCCCCTTTGGTGGGAGTTCTCCGTATTTCCCCGCTGGGAGGTCCCATGGTGACTCTCTCTCTGCATTGTGGCGGGCCTGTTCCTTTGGGACTCCTCCCTGTCATCCCCTGCCCGACTGTTCACAAACTCGTCGGCCAACTGGCCTGCGTGCTGCGGGTTCTCTGGCTTTGTGTCCATCAACCATCGCCTCAGGTCGGATGGGCACTGCTCATACACGTGCTCCAGTACGACTAGGTCAAGCAGGTCCTCTATAGTTTGGGCCCCAGCTGTCCACTTGCGGGCATACCCCTGCGCCTGGTTGGCTAGTTGTAGGTATGTGACCTCGCGGGTTTTACGCTGACTCCGGAACCTTTGCTGGTACATCTCAGGGGTCAGCCCAAACTCGCGGAGCAGGGCCTTTTGGAACAGTTCGTAGTCCCCTGTCTCCGCCCCTTTCAGTCGGCTGTACACCTCCCTGGCTGTGGAGTCCAGTGAGGGGATGAGAAACGAGCCTGTCTGCAGGGTCAACCTGGAGCAGCTCGCAGGTATTCTCAAAGGCTGTCGGGAAGGTATCCATGTCCTCCCCCTCCTTACGCTGGGCCAGGAAGCACTTATCAAAGCTCTTTGCAGTCTTGGGTCCCCCCTCGCTCACCGCAGCCGGGGCCCCACTGCTCCTCAGCCTGGCCAGTTCCAGCTCATGCTGACGTTGTTGCTTCTTCTCTTCCCGCTCCTGCTTCAGTTCTTGCTGCCTTAACTCGAGCTCTTTCAGTCTCAGCTCCCTGTCATATTCCAGTCGCACCCGTTCCAGGGACGGGGAGCTCCGCCGGGACGATCCCCTGCTGGCCGCCGGGGTCAGGGTGCCCTCGGTATTCACTGGGCTTCCCCCAACCCCTCCCCTAGGTATAGATAGGTAGGGGCTCGGGATGTCCTTGGCGGCAGGTTTCAGAGTAGCAGCCGAGTTAGTCTGTATCCGCAAAAAGAACAGGAGTACTTGTGGCACCTTAGAGACTAACAAATTTATTAGAGCATAAGCTTTCGTGGACTACAGGCTTATGCTCTAATAAATTTG